TTAGCAGAAGGTCTATGGTTCGATACCTGTCTCATCTAGCCAGCATTATGATTTTGAGCAAGATACTGAACTCTAAATTGCCCCTGAATGATGTGATAGAAATAGTGCTGTGTAGAAAAGATGTTTGTGTTTATCATTTATTATTTACCATAAAAAATCACTGGCTGTCTGGAGCAAAGGGAAAATTATATCTGAAAATGTAAAACATCGTTGTAATATCAAAAAAGGTCAGCAAAAGCGTTACATTCTGTGTATATGATTTATTTTAAGGAAATTAAACTTGCAAAAACACTATTATGTTCCCTTAAAATTAAGTTTGACTGTAAGCTCAAGTCATGTATCCACTAAAAAAATTGAATAGGTGTCTCTTTTAACCCCCTAAAGTGCGTCCTCGCTTCACCCAGCCTGCCAAGATGAGGAAGAGGGTGATAGCGCGTCCTGTTGGCAGCTCAGTGAGACTCAAGTGCACGGCCAGCGGGAACCCTCGCCCGGACATCGTGTGGCTCAAGGACGACCGGCCGCTGACAGAGCAGGAGGTCGGCGAGGGCCGTCAGAAGAAGTGGACTCTGAGTCTGAGGAACTTGACGCCAGAGCAAAGCGGCAGATACACCTGCAGGGTCTCCAATCGGGCGGGGGAAATCAACGCCACGTATAAAGTTGAGGTCATACGTGAGTATCCCACAGAGAGGCTGAGCTGTACGCATACTAAACAAGCTCACCTGGAAATACTAGGGTTAACACATGAATGATGTAAAGCAAATTAACCTTAAGTGATAACTGCTGTTTGCATGGATCATTTTTATGCTCTTTTGTACAGGAAATTAAAACAGTGTAATCACTTTAATAGTTGGTCTGATTTTCGCAGAGGAAGAGCTGTAACCTTTAAAAAAATCTTCTCTCTGATCTACCTACCCCTGACGTCTGATTGTGATCAACAGGTCTTACTCGTACACTCGCAACATGATGAATGTGCTTGTGTAATCATGTATATGAGAAGCATATTGAGGAAGCCGGCTTGAGAGTGAGGGCTTGTGCCCCAATGTTTGCACAGGGAAGAGAGACATAGAGAGAGCGAGAGAGAGGCTGTTCAACTTAGGGACCCTCCACCCAATCTGGAGCCGATTAAAGCCCAGCTGTCTGCCAGACCCTCAGCCCCCCACCCCCCTTCCCATGAGAAATGTGTGCTGTACAACCAGGAGCAAAGAAAGAGAGGAAACTAATCACACATACTTCTTGTGTTACATGTGGTATTCCTCCCTCTCTGTCAATTATGAATTCTAAGCTCGAGGCTAATAACGGTACAGACAACTCAGACCTCTTCTATCCACTTAGAGCTTCCCTGTCCTGGCTGCCATGTCAGAAGATGCCTGTGTGTCTGTGCTGACTGTTTTTCGTTGTGTTTGTGTGTGTCTCCGCAGAAAGGACAAACTCCAAGCCTGTTTTGACGGGCACTCACCCAGTCAACACGACGGTAGACTACGGAGGCACCACGTCCTTCCAGTGCAAAGTGCGGAGCGACGTTAAGCCGGTCATTCAGTGGCTCAAGCGCGTGGAGTCTAACGAGGAAAGCCGCTACAACTCAACCATTGAGGTGGGGGACCACCGATTCATGGTGCTGCCCACAGGGGAGGTCTGGTCGAGGCCCGACGGCTCCTACCTCAACAAGCTGCTCATTACCCGCGCCAAGGTGGAGGACGCTGGCATGTACATCTGCTTAGGCGCCAACACCATGGGCTACAGCTTCCGCAGCGCCTTCCTCACCGTGCTGCCAGGTGAGGCTCAGTGAATGTCTGCTCACCGTGTGTTACAAACATTCTGCAGAGCAACGAATCAGCAGCCTGGACAAGGATCTGTGTTGTTTGTATATTTAATGTGCCGTTTTATTTTTATTTCAACATGACATAACACAATCACATTACAGGATTGTAGAGTTTAAATGAACGAGAGATAAAAAAGAACAAATGGGGACAGATGACAACAAAGCAAAACTAACATCTGCTGTCATTTGTTATATATCAAAATGGGATAAAGTTTTTACTCTCAATTTTAACTGTCCCTCAAACTACTTTTTATCATCCTTTTTCTAGACTGAGGCCAGTTTAGTTTTTCTCATGTTTATGCTGAAGTAAATTAAATCCAACATATTTAATCAGTCAAGAAAAAATGCGTGTGTGTGCATTTTGGTGCATATCCAAATATAAAGCTTGATCCAGTGAATTTAAATGTGGTTTCATAAGGGGAGTGTTGGGCCTTGGCAGAGGAATGCATTCTACTTTCTACATTCTAGTTTTCACTGGTTTGACTTTTGCAAATATTGTGATTTTTTGCCTTTTTGTGTGAAGATTTTTTGTTTAACTTTAGATTTAATTTACAAAGTCCACTTAATAGTTGTCAACTTGTGTTGAAACTTTTTTTTCCGTCTACTTCTTTCTCAGACACAAAGCCTCCCATCACGCCTGTGTTCTCACCAGCCTCCAGCTCCCTACCCTGGCCTGTCATCATCGGCATACCTGCAGGAATAGTGTTCATCTTTGGCACAGTGCTGCTGTGGTTCTGTCAGAGCAGAAAACACTGTCCTTCTCCTCCCAGCGCTCCAGCTGCAGCCACACAGGTACTGCAGAGCTCCCATCGGCTGCCGTACAGAGAGCGTGACCGGGGCTGCGTGGCTCCTTCCTCCCACCCGGAGAAAGACTGCATGAGCTCCATGAACTACGAGGAGTACCTGGCACAGCAGCAACTCCTCCTCAGTCAGGGAGGAACGACACTCCCGCCCAAAATCTACCCTAAAATCTACACAGACATTCACACGCACACTCACTCCCATGTGGACGGGAAAGTACATCAGCATCAACACATTCATTTTCAGTGTTAGCCTCGGTGCCAAATCCTCCCCACTAACTGCTCTCAGAGGGAGATAGAGTTGTGTCATTCACCTGGCATCACTCGAATCCAAAACAAAAACGGACTCCTCTTATCGCTGGACATAGTTGGGAGAGTGTGCATGTGTGAGAAACAGTGGCCAGTGACACACCTCGCGTTTTTGCCTCCAAACTTCCACATTTGGTGCTTTTATTTTTTTTTTACCTTCCGATTCTCACACCACTAAAAATCCATTAATCCTTGTTGTGCACTTAGTAGAGATAAAAAAACAAGGAAATGTTCAGCATGTGAGTTGAACTGCAGCTGAAAGCTCCTCCTCAGCAGTTGAATTTCATTTTTTCCTCCTACTTGAGGTCGCGTGGCTGAAAACGGAGGTTTTAACGTGGAGCGCGGAGGCTCTGTGCGTTGTTACTGGTGACAAAGATGAAATATGGTACTCGGAGATTTACGAAAGGGCTGGTTTTATGCTCCTACTCAGGTAGTCCTTTTGTTTTGTTTAAGATGCATAATGTTTGGAATGCTGACCACTATCCCTCGTATTACCTAGTTCCATCCCTCACCTCTCTACCATGTTGATACAGAGGAGGCTGGTAGGTCTTTTATAGCCTGTTTGTGGCCTGTAAACCTTGCCTGAGACTGCAAGGGATGGAAGAATCATGTTTTCACATCAAGTGAATCGGTCATTATTACTTTTAACTTTTTTTTTAGGTAGGTGCCCATCACTAGTCAGTAGCATGTTGAGATAAACCAGCAGTCTGCTGCCTTGACCGCCACCTTATCCACCCCGCAGTATATGAAGCTGTAGTCATTTATAATCGAATTGAGTCGTGAATATTTAATTTATTTTGCTAAAAAAAAATGTATCAAAGGTTTATTTTTCAGAGTAAGGCATTTTACATATCTATGTAATGTTATTAAAGTATACTGTTGTTGTCTATAGAACATTTTGAGTACTTGTGTCACCCCAGTTTAATCACATTTAGTTCATGCTAAATATTTTAGGTATTTCTCTTTGTAATTGGTTATATTTGACAATCTTGTATGATGTACTCTGTTCAAGGCTCAAGAACTAAATCATCTGAACGTTTGATGGTTTGGTAGTTTGATTAAATGACCTGAAACAAACTTTAAACAAATGTTAATGATTTGTGTTCTTGTGGAGGACGTCCCTGTGAATGTTCTGCAAAGCCTGTGCTTGTAAACAAGGCACTAAGGTCCTGGTGAATGACTTCGCTGACAGTTCCATTCCTAAAACTACAAGGCTGTTGATGTGCTGGTGCCCAGACGGGTCAGCTTTCCTCCTTTGAGCGGGCTGAAGTGTCTCCTGGGGGTGACGCAGAGGGCAGCCAGCAGAGGGACACAAGTTGCCGGGATGAATGAGTGAATAGATACAGAACAGACACAAGGGCAGTCTCACAGTCCCCCCTTTTTAGGTGAGTGATGGCCCCTGCAAGACTACACCATATGTCCAGCATCTTTCCCCCCCCTCCTCATTTAAGTGAATCCAGCCCCCCTCTGGTCCGCACCACCACCTCATTCAACTCCAATCTAGGTAGGATTTCCTTTCACCATTTAGAAGTGTATTGTCCTGCTGTGGGAGTGATGTGACAGGAGCCTGTGATTGCTCAGGAAAGAAGGGGAGCATTGTGTCAGGTGAGCTCTTGTTTTGTCGCAACCATCGCTGGATGGAGATGAGCTCCGGCTCCGGACAGAGAGGCGAGTGTATCATGTGTTTAAACTGGAAATCCTACACAGAACAAAACCCTTTTTTTCCCCCCCTCCCTTCGCCATGTTTACTTCCACATTCACAATTTAAATCCAAAATCTAAATCAGTGGCTCCTAAATGCAATGCAAGTCATTAGCCTTCTGCTTTTCTTTGTTTCAAGAAAGGTCTGAGGTGATAATGACAATCAGTTGCAGCAGATTAGTTTTCAGCCCCACAGAAACTTTGGAACATCAGCACGGAGGTGAATTTTTTTGTCAACTGGCTTAAATTTAATATCCTTTGTAATAATTGGGGTTGTGGTTTGTGGGCTGAAAGGTTTGGGAACCTCTGAGCTATGGGACCAAATTCGAAATAATGTAACACTGCCCCCTACTGTTTACAAAGACATCATGCAGGAATTAAATCACCATCTTTATTAAAGTTTTTTTTACAGTATTTCTAAGAACATTTACAAGGACAAAACTCAAGAAAAGTTAAACGGACCAACAAAGAAAAACTGAAGAATTTAAGACAGTATTTACAAAACAAGCTCAACCCTTCTGAACTTTGGTGATGAGTTCATCACAAAGTTTGGTCAGCTCTTCAGCCTCCTTTTCCTGGAAAACAAAAAAAAACAATGGGAAATTAGAGAAATTATGAGAATACTTCATTTTAGGTCTTTTTTACGAACGTGTTCATTCACCTTCTGGTCGAGGCTTTTCTCCAACGAATGAACCTTAAGCTGCTCCCGCCGCAGCTGAGCTTGTAGAGCCGACACCTCGGACTTGAACTTTGAGCGCACCTCAGCAATTTCTGCATTTGCACTGTGGATGAACAATAACAGTCAGCCACACTGCAAACCTTATATTTTTCCACTATTAAGACAGAAGAGGCTGGTTTCTTACAGGCCAATTTTCTCCTCAGCGTGAGCTTTAAGCGTCTGGTAGCGCTGCTCCTCCTTTTTGATCCTCACCAGATAGTCCTGCGCACAAGCTTTCAGAGTCTCTTCATTCTGGGGGAATGGCAAAGGAAACGATTTGTCATTCAAACTACCAACAGGTTTAGTGAAATCATGTAAAGTGTTGTTGCTTTCTAACCTTTTTGTAGCCCTCGATAACGTCCTTGTACTTCTCCAGCCTCTTGAAAAGCTCAGAGAACGATCTCTCCATCGCATTCAGGTCGCTGGACGTCTGCTCCTTCTCCAGCAGAGCCTCGTTCAGCTTCGCCTGGGCCACCTCTCTCTCCTTCTCTTGATCGGCTGAAGTAAGTCCGAAAAAAGATTTTTTAAATATGCCATTGCGTCTGCACTCCCACAGAGTTAAACATGGTAGAATTTATGTTGACTTACCCATAATTTTTGCAATCATGAGCTCAAATTCTGCAATTATTTTCCTAGAAAAAAAACAAAAAAAATCAAATATACTGAAACGTTCATATCCGTTCATATCCATATACAAGTGATTAAATTAAAGCACAACTAACCTCATTTCTTGACCATCATCAATTACTTTTTTATATTTTGCGCTCCATTGCTCCTCTTTCTTCTTTGACTGAAAATAGAAAGTTTTTAATGAGAAATAGGTTTAATTTAATTGTATCGTCCATTTAAAACAGGTCCATTTGTAAAGTTTTAGAGAAGAAACTTATTTAAAAAAAGATATTTAAGAGTTTGATGTGAACTTTCAGTGATTAAAAAATGCCAGCATTCAAGTTTAACAATTGTAACTACAGTCTCCTTAAATGATGATAGAACATTGTTCTGCTTTAGAAACACTATTGTGCTGATTTTTACACCCATACCAGGAGCAGTTATTACTTCAATGCACTTGCTGTGGCTGAACCAAATATCTCTAAACTGCTCCAGGGATTGTTTGAAAAATGTTGAATTCTCATTCACCAAAACAAAATGACCTCAAATGGAAAAACTCTTCCGTGTTTGAAACGACTGCTGTTACTTGTCAGATCACGAAACAGTGAGCAGGACGAACCTCCAGCTGGACTTTGGCAATGGCTGCGTCCATGTCTTTCTGACTGTACTTCAGCACTTCGATAATGGCGTCCTCCGTGTTTGCGGGCTGTGGGAAAGCAGGGACGAGGCTCTCGAAGATTGGAGTCGCCTACATGACAGATGCAGTGTAAACAAATCAGGTGAACAGAGGATGAAAGGAAACACCGAGTGCAGAAAACAGAGCGACAGACTCAGTAATTGGTTGCGGTTCAACAGCGACTTACTGGTGCTGCAGGATCAAACAGTTTGAAATCACAGTCCTGTGGCGCATTTGTTGCCTCTTTTTCTGCCATCTGTTGAGTTTCAAGTCTGAATTGGTGGAGAGAGAAAAACACATGTGTAGTGGTCTAAGTGGTTACATTTCAGACAAGTTTCATTTTGTCTGAAGCCAAACAAATTCAGCTCTAACATCTAGTGACAGCAGCAGCACTCAGTGAGTAAAAACAGAAGTACGTCATACCGTGAAGCAAAGGCCGCCGGACGGGGGACGTGGGTCTGACCGGCCTCAGGGGCGGCCGTGGGCTTCTTTGGACTCTCTCTCAGGAGCGGGTCGAATTTGAGATACAAGGATTGTTTCCTCAGTGCGGATTCCTTAAACTGTCGACAGAGATTTTAACATTTAATATCTTGTGACAGTGAAATGGTTTAGATATTTAACAAACATGATGCAAGGACTCACTCTGCTGGACCCAAACTGTTCAAGGTAGTCCATTTGTCCATCGAAATCATTGACTAAATATAAACACACAAGGACAAAGAATGAAGATTCTCACATCAAACTGAGGAGGGAGTATGTTGATCTTGTTTTTGAATGGGGGACGTTTACTTACACATTGTTCCAGGGACAAAGTTCTCATTGAATTCAAACATCGCAAGTTCTGACTTCTGCTCAGGTTGAAACTGTTCAGACGCTTCAGGAACACTCTGCGCAGTTTCCTTGTTTTGTTCAGGGGCAGACGTCTGTCATTCCACAATAACAAAGTATTTGTTGTGAATCAAAGAGTTAAATGGAAACATGTGTTTTAGGATTATATCAACGTCACTTCTCTTACCTGTGGGCTGGGTTTAGCAGCCGGGACACTGTCTCCAGCACTGCAAATGGAAAAACACAGTGAAATAAAAGCACAGTTGAAGTGAAGCATCCACTGCAAGTAGATACTTGGCACACTCTATAAAAAACTAAAAAACCTTAACATACCAGGCTGGTGAAACAGCTTCCTCCTCCACAGGCTTCTCCGTCTGCTCTGGAATGGCAGTTTCCGTAAGCACGGGGCTGGATTTCTTGCTGCACGTTGGAGAGTTGTTGATGCCTGTTTTTGTGCCAAAGGGGTTGAAGTTTGGGTCATCAAATTTGTCAAAGTCAAATGAGTAAGAGCTTTTGGGAACTGGAACTTCGGCCACGTCGCTGACATTGGGCTTCACTGAAGTTTCTTTTTTCGTTTTGACATCAGACACTGACTTTTCTTCTGTAGATTTTGCACCAGGTGGCCTTTTGCCAAACTTCTTGGGTGGCGGTTTCTTTTTGACCTCACTTCCATCGTCGAAATTGAACTCGAGTTTGATTGGGAGTTCCATTAGTGGGACAGCATCTGGCTGAGATTCAGCAGAGGGAGGCTTGGCGGGGTTAGTGGGTATTGGGATAACTGCAGCGATGGGTTTCACATCCGGCTGAGGAGGCAACTTTGGAGCCACCTCAGGAACATGGACGATATCTGCAGGTTGGTTTTCCTTCACCTGAGGCTCCTCGATGGGGGGAATATTCTCTGGCAGTTTTTTCCCGAGGACAGGGGAATTCTGGATTTTAGCGCCACCGGTTTGGAAAGGATTCACATCATCAAGGTTGTCAAAATCAAAGCTATATGAACCTTTCGATGGCAGAGGGGCGTCTTCCACAAAGACGGCTAGTTTTTTGTCTTGAACAACATTTGGAGAAGTCTCAGCAGGTTGTTCTTTGGGCGTTGCAGTACACAAATCTTGTTCCTCAACTGCTGGGACCTTCGCCACTGTGACCACACTGCTCTCTGTGGAACTGATGTTGGCAGAGACATCCACCAGTGAATTTTCCACAGACGGAGCAAAGGGAAGTGTCTCATCTAAGACCATCTCCGTCTTGGTGGGCTCCTCCAAGATATCCTCTGGCTGTGTGTGTTGAGGCACATTTTGTTCTGCAGGAGAGTTTTCAACAGCAGACTTTGCAGGAGAGAGAACCATCTTACTGGACCCCTGGAATGGATTCATGGCATCCAGGTTGTCAAAATCCAGCTGATAGCCTCCTTTGCTCTGGATTGGCATTTCATCATCAGGATAAGACGACACTTCTGTGGAAGAGTCGAGGGGATTTGCTTTAATTCCAGAGCGTTCAGAGACATTCAAGTGAAATATCTTTGTCATTTTGGATAAATTACCTGGTTTGGGCTCATCAGGTTGCTCTTGTGCTGAAGGACTGTGAAAGCGAAACAGGATTTTTTTAAATTTACTTAAACTGAACCTTTATTTCATTGGATGCTTGTTTCAGTAAAAGAAATGTAACTTACTTTGTTTTATCTAAATTTAAAGTCTCCATTGCCTTTGTGCACTCATCCACACTGGGCATCTTCGCAGACTTGCTTGGAGATTGGACAATTCTCTTGGTCACCGGGTCTCTTCTTGGGGTCTGAAAACAAACCTGCACTCAAATAGCACAGGGGGTTTAGCTAATGTTAGCTGGATACAAAAATATCTACAGAAAGAAAGAACAGCAGAAAGAAAAATAGCAGTTTGATTTCCCAGTTATAACAGTGGATTTATTTCTCAGTAGATATTTTAACAGATTTATCTTGACTGATATGATTTATTAGAAGTGGGCAAAAAACAAGATGTGGTCAAACGTCCTATAGTCAGAGAATTAAACATGTCAAGCGTCTTGTGTTGAATTAACAGTAAAACAAATGTTAATATCACTTAGTTATTGTTTGTGAGTAATTGTTATTTTCTGCCTAAAATGATCAAATGTAACCGTAGCTGTACCTTCATCCCCTTTGGCACAGTCTTGCTGGGCAGGTTCTCCGTCTGTCGCAGGATGGACGGCCTCCCGGTCGGCTGATCCAGGTCAAATATGTCGGTAGTTGAGCTGTTGTGTTTTCCTCCAGGGTAGACCCCACGATTCTCATCATTCACCTCAACGGAACTCATCCTGTAAAGGCAGAGAGAGCAACTATCAGTTAAAGGGCTGGGATGACCAGGCGGCACTTTGAAGAGGGAGGGGTGGCGTCATCATGAGAGCTGCACCCAGTTGATAAGAAATGTTTGGTGTTGGCATTTTCTGATGTGTGAGAAGGATCTTCACAGAAAAGAAGATGACACGTTAGGTCAACAGCAGAATCCAAACCAATGAGATTCCACCTACTTCTTGTGGTGAAGCTTGGTGCCGCGTGGCTACATCTTGTATTAATATAACACATTGTCCTTGTAAAAATAGGGAAAGTAAGGACATTAAATAAATATGCAAAACATAACCTGGATCCTTGAGGCTAAAGTTGTTCTGGTGGCTGATAGTATGTAGATATACGGGCAGCAGTGCAGATGTTGGTGGATAAAATGAAGTAACACAACATAGATGTGTAGAACAAACCCAAAGTGTGTATCAGATAGTGTTGCCATTACACAGTTTGTCCACCAGAGGGCACTCAGAACCCCCCCCCCCCTTGAGGGCATCCAGTCCAGTTTCTGATCATTGTGTTGAGCTCAGAAATAAAACTGGTTTAAAGTAAAAGTCAAAATGAAGAGTGGTTGACTTGGCAACCGGAGCTGTCATAATTCATCACACCAACAAAACAATAGTTTGCTGCTTCTGTTACTGTGAATAATGAAGTTATTAATAATCATCTTCTCATCTTAATTTACTTATTGTCTTTCCTAGATGCCTTTAGCTTGGTGTCCGGGTAATACTTGAATATTCAGAGGACCCAGGTTTGTATTATATTTGAACTATAAACTAATACAGACCATTAACTACGACATTCAGCTTAACTGGGATCTGAACAAATGAAGTACAGAGGAATAAGCATCCTAAAAGACTTAAACTTATATGACTTCAATGATAAGCTGTTAAGTCAGAAAATAGTATATATAGGATATTAAGAGACTACAGAACCATGTATATTTATGTATGTGTACAAGTATATGAATATATGTACTCCAAATAAAAGAATACATTGAAGAATATACATATAAACAGGTGTATTGCTTTGATATTCAAACATGTTTATGTCCAAGAGATCTGAGATAGAGAGATGATCTTTGTTTTCAAAAGTAATTTGCTCCAAATTCTGCTGCTGTTTGTGGTTTATGATCTCACACACACACACACACGTTGATTGAACGCATGATTCTTTTTTTTAAGAATGAGTGTCTCGTACGTTGATGTCAGCAACATGAGCTTTTGCCTAAGCTGAGCTCATCAGACTAACTTCTGGTAACGTTGCTGGAGGCTGAGATCACGCTGACGAATCCTCTGACACATCCACACTGTTAATGAACGACATCTTTGTCTTTGTGGCGTCTCGTGACAATCTAACAAGCTAAGAATTCCGGTTAGCCTTCAGCTCACCGTTGGTTATGGCGCTCAGCAAAAAGAAATACACAAATACTCGGCTGAGTTCAGTCAAAACTGTTCATCAGCAACGAGTAACTGCTCAGATTGATGGACAATGGGAAGGTTTAGATGTTTGTCACACAACCAGACACAGGCAAATGTAATATTAACACAATAAGCGGGAATTAACAGGCACAAAAGCTACATTTGCTAAGCTAACCGTTATTTAGGAGCTGACGTTACCATCGAGTTGACTTGCGGAGGAACACAAAAACTGTGGGTAACGTTTGGTTAACACACAACAATGTAAGAAAGTAGATCCTCGTCCTCCCTGTGTTATCACTCGTTGTTCAGCACCTACCTGGAAAAACAGAACTAACGACGATCTCTGTCAGACCATGTAGCTTCAGACCGTGTAGCTTCAGACCGTGTAGCTTCAGACCGTGTAGCTTCAGTCCGGGTGAGGAGGATCGACCCTTTGGAAACCCTCTCGTCTTCTCTGGGACACAACCGTTTGAATTTAAAAGTCTGAAAACAAACCAATGAAATCGCGGGAAGCGTTCAAAGCGAACACACTTCCTGGTTGAGCAGCCAATCGCGCTTCAGAGCGGATGTGGTCTAATGTACGGCTGCGCACCACGGATCAGCTCCAGAGATGTACAAAACGCAAGATAGTTATCACAGATAAAAACTGTGGAAACAGCGATCAAACGCAACACATGCAGCAGTTTGTTATCATTAACATCTATGTGACATAATGTGTGTGATTTGTACAGGTTTCAATGACACCAAAGACTTGAGCGACTAAACAATACATACATAGAACAACTTGTGGACCGCTGTAAGGACTTGTGTGTGGGGGAAAAAAAGTGGCTTCCGGGCACTGACAGCGAACTGGGAAGTGAACAGACACTTATCTCACAGCTTTTGACACCACACACTCGATTCGATATCTATTCAGTTAAGGATACTTCATTGTACAATACTAATTCTGCATGGATGTTAAAGAAATTCTCAGAGAACTACAGCTGTGAACTGAACATGGAAACATCTCACTTGCATTATTAAAAATATGAATGTAGACCTGTCATGATAACAAATAGTGATGGGAGATATGTTTAATTGATTAATTAATAATTGTGATGAATTATATTATTGTCATAATTTTGCAACCATTTCATAACACTGATATAATGATAATGAATAATAATAATAATAATCATTATAAAGAGCAATTAAGTTTGAATTCTTAAGAGTACACATTGCCTGTCCCTGCCTACTTCTAGATCTGGGCCCCGGGAATCAGTGGAAATAGAAATCGTTCCTCTTCTCCTGGTGTTTTGTGGCAGCTGGCAAACAACTTTATAGGTCTTAATCTCTAATCGCTGGCTATTCTAGCATTTATTAGCGTTAGGAGTCCATTCGGGCCCCAAGCAACAATTCCCAGGGAGCCCCTCAAACAAGGGTAGGAAGTGTAAAACATTTGAATTTCAAATTTTTTGTCGATGGCAACACTATGAGACACTGCTGTGGAGTAAAGTTTGTCAGCCCTCAGGGGCCCAGTCATGGCCTGGGGCCCCAAGCAGTTGCCTGCCTCAACTGTTCACAAGAAGCACCTCTGCCTATAATAAACATTTCTAATACGTCCTGTCCTTTCCGAAAGAAACAATAGCAATTCAACTTTACATCCTACATGACCCACGGAGCATGAATGTTTCCAGATTAAAGATATATTCTATGTTTAGGCCAGCATAGACATTACATGGACGCTACCTCTTCCGTACCGGTAGGCGGCGGTATTCGCTCTTCACTTTGGTCATTAAAAACCTAAGAAGAAGAACCATTAGCAGACCTGCCCGCCAATTTTGAAGGATGTAAACAGAGGTCCGTCTTCTCTCCGACCTGATATGAAGACAGTTCATCCTGTTACATAACGGCGAATAATTGACATGTCAGCGATGAACACCGGTGGAAAAGGTGAGCGCAACAAATGCGCACTGGTTCCGTTTGGGAACTTACGCTGCGGTCGTTTTATCGAGCCACGTCTCAGCTAACTTCAGCTAGTACGTGTGTATCCGCAGGTTGAAGCAGACGTTTAAGATCTTTATTTTTCTGTTCACAGGATCGGGCGATTCATCCCAGCTTGTTGCCAGGTAACGAGTCTTCATCACGATGTTTCATCCGAATGCTCAGAGTCGATTAAACTACGTTGTTGACATGAGAGATAATAACGGGAGCTGTAGTTCCACATACAGTGTTCCGTATGATCCTAGGTCACGGTGAATACTGTACATTTACAATAAGCCACAGTGTTTGCTTGACTTATAAACTAATTTCGAGTTTGAATATTCTGTGTACTGTTTTGACTGAGGAGAAAGAAGATCTAGATATCTGTATACTCAATATATAGATAGATATAGAGCTGTATTCTCGATAGATATAAATATATAAATCTGTATTCCCCATAGATAGATCGATCTGTACTCTCTATTGATAGAGAGATATAGATCTGTATACTAAATAGAAAGATAGATAGATCTGTATCCTCCATAGATAGATAGATAGATCTGTATACTCCATAGACAGACAGATAGATATAGATCTGTACTGTCCATAGATAGATCTGTATACTCCATAGACAGACAGATAGATATAGATCTGTACTGTCCATAGATAGATCTGTATACTCCATAGACAGACAGACAGACAGATAGATGTAGATCTGTACAGTCCATAGATAGATAGATACTTTATTGATCCCAAGGGAATTTAGAAATGTACACTTTAACACAGCCACAATAGATGAACCTTTTCATGTCCACTCAACATCACCAAATCAGTTTTTACATTGCATAGGTGTTAATGTTACTCTCTGGTGTTTACAGCGGTGACAGCGATTCTATCAAAGTTTTCGTGCGAGTGCGACCTCTGACCCAGGGCACTGGACTGACCACAGATGGAGATCAGAGTCTGTGTCTCACCGTCACCTCACCCAACACCATCCGTCTGCTCTCCAAACCAGAGCCGAGAACCTTCACCTATGACCATGTGGCTGATATGGACACATCTCAGGTAGGGAGCATGAGTTCCATCTTCAACACATGGGTTAAACTAGCTTGGGTGATTGATAGTAACCTGATTTGTCTGTGTCTGATATAGCCTGCATGACTCTGAAAAGTTAATTGTGGTGTGTATATGTGTGAACTGATCTGTCATTCTTCTTCTACAGGACTCTGTATTCTCCAGTGTGGCTAAGAATATTGTTGAGTCTTGCACAAATGGATACAATGGCACTATATTTGCCTAGTAAGTGTTCTTTGTTTATATTTTACAGTATAAAACGGGGGGAAAATTATGGCACAACCTCTCTGTGTTGGGCTTGATGTGTGGCATCCATTAATTTTCTCATATTCCTCTCTTGTTTCTGCAGTGGGCAAACCGGCTCAGGGAAAACATTCACCATGCTTGGTGAGAATTATTTACATTGTGTACATCATTACATATTTTTTAACTTTTAAGCATAAGCATAGTTGATGTGACCCTCCTTTTTCAATCTCTTGGTCCAGGACCCTCTGAGTTGGACAACTTCACAGATGAACACCGCGGGGTTATTCCTCGAAGTTTTGAGTACCTGTTTTTTCTCATAAACCGAGAAGCGGAACGGGTAAGCAGTAACATTCTATTATAGCAAATGTATTTTTTAACTCTTTTATTGATTTGTTTTTCTCTCTCCCAAAAGCCTGCCCAGTCTAAGAGTTTCCTTTGCAAATGTTCATTTATTGAGATATACAATGAACAAATTTACGACCTCCTGGACACAGCGTCAGCCAGTCTTTTCCTGAGGGAGAATATTAAGAAAGGTGTGTTTGTTGAGGGAGCTGTGGAGAAGTTTGTCAACTCAGCCGCTGAAGCTTACCAGGTAGGTATTACTGACCTGTTGTGGTGATGAAACAATTGATTCCTATGCACCTTGTATCCAGCTTAACTATCTTACTCTTTCGACATTTGCTGTACAAAGTGTGTGGAGCCGCAATAAAACCTGTTTTTAAAATCACAGGTTCTGTCTATGGGCTGGCGTAATCGACGAGTGGCCTCCACCTCTATGAACCGCGAGTCTTCTAGATCTCACGCTGTGTTTACCATGACTTTGGAGTCCAAAGAGTCCATCAATGAGGTGGTGAACATCCGAATGTCTCAGCTGAACCTGGTGGATCTGGCAGGATCCGAGAGGCAGAAAGATACACACACAGAAGGCTCCAGACTCAAGGTGATGCTTCACACCTGAATGCTCTCATACTGATGTATTAGATGTATGGTTTCTGTTGTTGCTAACAGCTTGTAGCTGCTGCACTTCTTTTCTTTCAGGAGGCCAGCAGTATCAATCGTTCCCTCATGTGTCTTGGTCAGGTGATCATGGCACTGGTGGACGTGTCCAATGGGAAGAACCGCCACATCTGCTACAGGGACTCTAAACTCACCTTCTTGCTAAGAGTAAGTTTCTGTTTATGCAAAAAACATTTTAATGTTTTTACAGTGAGAACAAACAGTAGTAATACATTTTGTGCACATGACATTTTAATATTGAATTTTCTCATTAATTTATATACTTTTTGTTTTGGTCAAATATAACCCTTCATAGTAATAAATGCATTAATCTAGTGCACTGTAACAATTGTATTACTCCTGTTATTGCAGGACTCTCTTGGAGGAAATGCAAAGACTTACATCATAGCCAATGTCCACCCTGGCTCAAAGTGTTTTGGAGAAACATTGTCGACCTTGCAGTTTGCTCAGAGGGCAAAGCTGATCAAGAACAAGGTCTCATACTGTTTTAATACAAAGTAGACAACCAATTTGTTGTAATTTCATAACTAGATCACTTTATTGTCTTATCCTCATGACAAATTATCTTTGCTTTCCCAGGCGATCATCAATGAAGATACACAGGGAAATGTGAAGCAGTTACAGGCAGAGGTGAAGAAGCTCAAGGAGCAGCTTTCACAGGCACTTGCTTCTCAGGGTATTGACTATGGGAGAGATATCGCACCAGGAGGACCTGAACTCCCCATGGGTAACAACAATAAAGTGTATTATGTTTAAATAATATAATTTTCTTTTCTTTTTAACAATTTCTTTTTAACAATTTCCCTCACCAGCCCCTTCCTTTGACATTCAACATGACTTCTCATATAAAGCAAAGTTTATGGCTGCTGTTAATCTGTGGAGGAAGCTAGAAGTCGAGAAGACGGTATGGGAATTGTTTCATTGCTCTTAAATTGTTGTGAGGGAGAAAATGTTGATGCAGGAGAACTTATAGAAATGTTTGACTGCACTCAGATGCTGCTCCAGAAGGTGGCTCAGCTCGAGGAGGCCTGGACACAAAAAGACAAGTTCATCCATTCTAGCCGAATGATCGTCAGGTTTCGGGAAGACCACATCTCTCGTCTTGAGAAAAAGTTGAAGGCAGGACAAAACCTCCTGTCAGAGAAGGAGTCTCAG